CCCTGCCCCGGAGCAGCTTCGCCGCGCGGCGCCGGCTCCAGCCAGGTGCGGAGGTACCTGCTCTCGGCCGGCGGGACGCCCTGGGGCTGGATGTAGGGGTGGTAGACGGACGGCAGGCTTCCGGACGCGTGCGGGCTCAGCGGCGCCCAGGAGGCGCCGAACACCGGCGCTTTGGGCTGGAAGCTGCACGAGGGGAACTCCAGGTGCTCCGCGTGGCCCGGCTGCCGGGGGCTCGCGTACTGGCCGGAAGGAAACTTGGCTGGAGGCGCGTCCTCACTCTCGTGACTTATGATCGAGTCGACATAATAGCTGCTAAGCGTCCCAGAAATGGACATTCTCAGACATTATCCGGGCGCTCGCAGGGGGAAGGGAAGCGCTCGCGCGCGGCGCCCAAGCAGGGAGAGGTGGCACCCAGACCGGTGTGAGGGCTTTCGGACGCGACCCCCCCAGCCCCCCACCCTCCCACCCCCACCCCCTGCTCAACTTCTCAGCCAACAAAGTACAGTGGAGCAGCCCGGCTCAGCGCTCCTTGCAAAATGATTGGTCAAAGTTTTTCCGACTGCCTGATAAAGCGTCAGCTCCGACATAAATCAATCGGGCGAGGGGGCTGCGCTCTCGCTGTCATCCGTCCGCACCGCATTCCATATCGAGGATGGATTGTTTTATGCTGATGCAATGTGCTATCACGTCAGGGCTTCGGCGGCCACGTAACCTCAGCCGGAGCTGCCGGCCTCCCGTCCCCCCCTCTTTTGCAGGAAGGGGGGCAGTTCTCGACGTGGGGCGGCGGGGGCGGAGGAGAGGCGGAGGGGAAAGCAGCGGGCTGCCTCGGGAGGGACGCTGGCTGCGGAGCCCTCTCCCCAGGCGGGTCCAGGAGGGAGAGAGGGAGAGCAGGGCAGAAGGAAGGGGACAGCCCCAGCCTGGGGAGCAGCCAGAGAGGCCCACAGCATAATTAAAGAGGAGGTGGTCCTGTCCCCACCACAAACACACCTCCACTCCACCCCGCCGGCCCTCGCTTCCTCTTCTCTGTCCCCTTGACACAAGATGTTGATTAAACAACAGTGCACCAGAAAGCCACTGGAGATGAAGTAAAAGGGATGGGGAGAAGTTGGGGTTTTACAGAATGCGTCCGCTTTGGAGGGGGCTTTCTGTAACTAGTTTGGGAGGTTTACAGGCCTGGGAGCTTCTCCTGACCCCTCAGTAGCTGAGGGAGGAGAGAGGGGAATAAAAGGACGTGAGTGTCTAAGGATCTTGTCCAAAAATGTAGCTGTCTTGAAATTAGAACCCTCATGAGGTTAAAGGGATTCATTAGGTCCTGGAAAGTTGAGCCTCTGAAGAGTTTTATACAACTAGCTTCTTTAAGTTTCTTGAGCCTCTCTCTGGCCCTGGTCATTCAGAGGAAAGAAGGGAGGAGGGACACAGCCATTTCTCCTTCCCTCCTCTTAAGAGCGGGCCAGGCCCTTAAAATTGCCCAGATGGGGGAGCTGAACATCAGAAAGGATTAAGGAACTTCCCTAAGGTGTCAACAGAGCAGAGGTGTGGGAAGGGGTCCAGAGTTAGCTCCTCTTCCATCCAGTGGGGAGGGAGGTGAGTCCGAATTTTCGCCTCTCTTGCCGGCTCCTCACGCGGTATTGCGCCTTAGAAGGATTTCCAAATATAGCTCTTGGGCACCAGCGTAGACAGAGAGCCTTGCAGGGTCAGTCTCCCACCCTCCAGCTGCCTTCCTTCTTGCAGACTCTCGCTGGAGCTTCCAAACAGCCCGTTTTTATTGATATCTGCTCTGCGGCCCTGTGCTGGGGCTCCCCGGGGACCACCGACTGGCTTCCTGGCCCATCTCCAGCGGTCGCTCCCCCGGCTTCTGCCCTGGGTGCAGTCGCTTCTTGTGGTGTGGGTGCTCAGGGAGATGCGGCCCCTAGACAGCCCAGATTCTCCTCCGGTCCAGTTAAGGGGCAAGGCTGGGGCCAATTTTCTCAGTCCACTCCGATCCTGGCCCTTATAAGATAGGCCGCCCCAGCCCAGTCACTTTAACAAAAGCGAGACCATTCTATTTTGAGGTTTTATCATTTTGGCCATGTACCCCTCTGCCGGGCAGAAGGCTGCGGATCACCTCTGCACACACACAGATACACTCCCGCCCGCTTTTCTTTCCAAATGAAGCCATCTCGTGTCATTACGTGTGAAATACGAGGGCAAAGCGCCATATTTCTTCACATTATGGCGATTTCAAAATGATTTTTTAAAGATCAATGCCGGCGCCCAGCCGGCCCCCTCCTTTTCCACCCCAGCTCTCCGAGGGCGACAGCCCAGCAGATCCGGAACCAAACAGCGTGAAGAGCTGCTTTTTCCATGGGACCCAAGTGGGGAAACAGAAATCCAATGCAAATTCTTCTAAGTAGCGGTTGGACGCTTGGGAAAGTCAAGGGAGCTCCCTGGACTCGCCATCAAGAAAGCTGGGCGTCCAGCGAATGAATCACAGTTAAAGCAAAGCACCTGTTCTCCATTTACCAGACATAGGGAGTCTGCTGTTGGCTTTACCTGTAATAAATATATTCTTCAGGAAAAAAAAATCTCATCTCCCGCTATAAATAATGGTGTTGTGAAGCATGGCGGTCTGGGTATATGACTTTCTGTAGTATATAAATTAGGGCCCAAAAGGACATGTGGATTGTGGGCAGGGGCTCTTTTATTTATGGCAAAGTCACAGCACCGGGCTGCTCTTAAGACTCGGGCTGTGTAGGCGCTGGGTTCCGACCGCAGCCCTTCTGGTTCCCACTCTGGCCCTGGCTTTGCTGCCGCTTCTCTTTGCAGTGAGAGAGAAGTCTAGAGAGCCACTTAGTTGAGGGAAGAGGTTAGAGGGAGAAGAACATTGGGCTCATGACTTGTGCCTTACAGTGGTGGCATGTCCCAGCAGACAGGGTTCAGGTTCGTGGGTCGCTGTCTGGGAGCTGCCCTAACCCCTGGGGGCTCCTGGGTGCTGGGTAAGAAGGGGACCCAGGCCTCTTTTCTAAGACCAGAACTTAGCTTTTGCTCACAAACAAGCTGGGGGTGGGGAGAATTCCAAAGTGACAGGTTTTGGAGGGCTTAGTCTTCTCAGGAGCGGTGACTCTGAAGGGAAGAGAATGAACCAGCACCCAAGCCCTGGAGTCTGCACCCGCAGCTCGTCTCCTCCAGGTGAGGATCCAGAAGAACCAGCTAAAGTCCCACCGCAGCCAGGCTTTCTAGAAAGCATTGTTCCCCCAAATTGGGGCTCAATTCCAGCACAGGCAAATGATTAAAGGGTCCACTGAGAGGGAGACCCTTGTTTGGGTGCTCTCCCCAGAGCCTATGGACCTCCCCCCACCCTTGTTTTCCTTCCCAGACAATGGTACCCACCATGAGGGAGAGAAACAAACAGGGTTTGGGCCCCTGGAGCCCAGTTTCTAGGGCTTAATAGAGGGGCTTCTTGAGTGGGTGTCACTTTATCCTGAGAGAGCAAACTGCTCCCCACTTCTCCTCAATCCTAGAGGGAAAGAAGAAAAACCCTCTAGAAGCCTCTTGCCACTCCCTGCAAGGGAGCCACGCCTGAACACAACTGGGGCCAGTGGCTGATAGCTCCGGGAAGGGCAGGCAGGGAAAAGCTGCAGCTTCTGGCCACAGTGGGGCCCAGAGCAATCAAGAATGAGATCGAGGTGGGGAGAGCAGAGGCTAGCCCTGGCCAGGACCAGCCGGTGAGTGCCTGTGGTTTAAGGGCTGCTTTTGGAAGGGTCCTCTATAAGAAGAGAGAGAGAGAGAATAAAAAAGAGAGAGAAAAAATCTGGACGGAGGGAAGGAAATTAAAGTAAGGAGAAAAATAAAGAGAAAAATGCTAAGTGGAAAGGGGGAAATTTTGATTTTAATTGATAAGCTAAGCTGAAATTTATGCATGCTGTATTTGAATAGGTGTGTGTTTCCTGTATGCATATTTCAAATCAGTATTTCTTTACGGAAACCTAGTGTGCTGTGCTCTATGCTGTGTATAGAATATGTAATAAATAAATCTGCCCAACTATAATACTGAATGCATTTGGGCATTTGTATATAAGATCTAATGGTACACATGTGGATGCGTGTATAACCCCTGCGAATAATATGGGTTTACAATTCTGCTCTTATCAGAAGACCTATGACCCAAAATGTATGTACATTTTTATAACCATCACACACTTATAGAAAGGGCAAAAACTTGAGTATTTGCATACTGGAATTGTGGCTTTATAACATTAGCTAATTCAGAAGCGTCACTTGAAAATCTGACTGTTGACTCGGTATTCAAGCAAAATACACACTGTATCCACAAACACATGTGACTTACACCTGGATTCTTTTACAGCTTCCTTCTAAAACATTTCTCTGGAAGGTGAAGAAAATGCCTCAAATTGGCCCAGAGGAGGTCACGAAATTTTGTGGCTTTTTTGTCTGACCATGAAATCCTTTACTGCGTATCTTACCCCAAACCGCAGGGACAGCATGCATCGTGTGATGCTTATTTCATGGTAGGGATGGACATGGGGAGGAAGGCACTGTTATACATGCACAAGTGTGTCCCACACAAGTGTAAATCTGACCAGTGGACAGAGATGAATTGAATGTGAAAGCTCTCAGGTAACTGTGGAGACCATAAAAAAGCACTGCTGTGTACAACGAAATTAGCAAAGTCCCCATGTCTCTGCCCCCAAGCACCCAGAGATATTTCTTCTGACCCAGGATCAGAGTGTAGCCCCACTGTGAGAAAGAACGAGGTGTGGGGTCACTTGCTCCAAGTGGGAGGGAATCAAGGTCCCCAGAAATTTACCCTTCCATGCAACAGCCTCCGAAAGGAACCACATCGAATCTGAGCACAAGGGTTCAATCCTTGGTGCTTCCACACCCTCTGAGTGAAGATTTTAATTGTAAAGTAACGAAATCTTCTCCCAAATTCCCTCCCAGGATGTCGGATGTGAAAGGAAGGACGGAGAGGTCAGTGGCCCAAGAAGACTTTGAAAATCTTCTTACCAACTATGAGCCCTCAGGAATATGGAAGGCCCTGGGGGCAGCTGACTCCTGGGGAGGGGGCATCCAGGAGGCCAAACGGGGTGGGCGGTGGGCGGCAGGCGGGGCGGAAAGGAGCTGAGCAGGTAGAAGGTTATTACGGAATTGCTTCCATAAAACCTGTGGCTGTTGTAAAACTCTCTGCTTTCCAAAGACTTTATTTCTTCCTTTCTCTCTAACTTCCCCCTTTTTTTCATTTTACAGCGCTGTTCCTGGGAGGGGGTGGCCAAGGGACGCCAGAGATGGAAGACAGTCAGGCTCCAAGTGGCGGGGCAGGTTTGTGAGAGGCCAAGGGAGAAGTAAGGTGAGGCAGCAGAACATGCCAGACCATCTTCCCCCAGACCGGGGGACAAGAAAACATCAAGGGACAGTGTTGCTGGCCTTTGCTCACCAGGACAGTGAGTTGAAGGCTGCATTTCCTCCGGGGGCTGAGGGTGGGTCTCCCAAGGGCCTCCTCCACCCTGGAAGGGGCCCCTTATTCAGAGATACCCTTCACCCTCCAAGTCAGCCTGGCGCCAGAGCCCCATCCGGTCGGGCCTCTTCCCCCAGGCCCCTTACTACATTTCCTCTGCCTCAAGCAGGGGGAAAAAAGTTTGGGAACAAAAGTTAGCTTATGCTTTGGACTGTCCCCCTCCTTCTGCCAGCACTTCTAGTTACTCCTTTCCTGGGCAGAGAGCCAGCAGCCTGGAGAGGGCTGGGGTCAAAGAGGGTATCACAGCGTTGCCCCTGCCCCCCCCCCATCTCCTGTCACTCCATCAGTCTGGGCTGAACTGTCTAACAAAGTCTGGGGTTCCCACTAGCCAGCAAGACAGGCCCCTCATCATCTCCCAGGGTGGGGGTGGCACTCCAGACCTAAGTAAACCCACAGCCCAGCCCAAGGATCTACAGGAAAGTCTTGGCCACTCAGTGGGGAAGAGAAATCACTGAGGGATTAGGAAGGGGAAAAATTTTTGGACCTACCTTTGTCCCACTAGGGGGCCCTAGAAAGGACCCTGGGGGTCTGTGGGCTGAGGCTACAAGGGATCCTGATGTTTCCCTTTCAGAATGGGACAGATTGAGCCCTCTCCAAGGACCTGAAGCTTCCTGTTAAAGTGCAGCCCTGTCCACCCCGCAAAGAGTTACAAAGACTTCAAGAATCCCCTGTGTCTCTGTCGAAATCAAGCCTTTGCCCAGTTGGGGGAACTTTCTTTGCAAAGTCTGAATGTAGAACAGAACGCAAGACCCCAAGACAGGAAGCTTGAAGTCCTAAGACCCTTCTGGCTCTGTAGAACAGCCCAGCAAGGTCCCTTTGGAGAGTGGAATGCTCCCCCACTTCCCCTTTCCCTCCCAACACCCACTTAAACACAGAAGTGGGAAGACACCCGAGAACATTCCACATCTCTGCTCTGGGGAGCATCCTTGCTGCTCCTGGGTAAGAAACCTCAAAGCCCTTCACCATTTTGCAAGGGTGATACAGTAATCCTGACTCTGCTTCACTATGTACCCCACCCCAACTCCTCCAGCTAAGCGAGGAGCAGTAACTGCCGTGAGTCGGGTGGTTTAATGTCGTTGTGTTCAGAAATCCAGGCCCAACAACATGAAACTACCTAATTCACTCAGCAGTTCCAGTTCAAGCCCCAGGTCAAGGGCTCACTGGGGGCAGGCCCCTGCAGCCATTTTGTGGGCCTAAACGGCTGGCCGGCTAACTTCATTTTCCTCCACCTCTTCCCAAATAGAACACAGTTGCTAATAAACAACATATCCAAAAACTGGAGGCAGAACTCCAGGCAAAACCATTTTGGAGCTGGTGCTGGCAGCTCCAATTCGATCCAGGAGCTTTTGCTCTCTCCCAGGAGCCCTGGTCCGGGGCAGGGTTGTGGGGGGCCTAGGCCCAGCCTCAGGCTTGGGCTGGGCCCTGGGCATATACCTGCTTGGTCACTGCCTCTCAGCCTCTGTCTCTGAAGCTGGAGGTCTCCACAGCTAAAACGATTTCCCTCTCAACTTCAAACTGTTTTCAAGGTACGTCTGCAGTCGCCATCTGGCTAGTGCCGGCTCCAGAGTCACCCAGGGTAGGTCTGAGAGGTCAACTCTTCAAGCCCTACACGAAACCCCAACTTTGAAATGTGAACAGACAGGAGAATGGAGAGAAAGAATGCTGAGAAAGTGACAGTCGGAGAGGGAGCCGGAAAAGCAGAGCGTGCAAAAGCATCCAGAAGACTTGGGAGCAAACAAGCAACGGGACTGGAAAGGAAATTGAGGTAACCTGGAACAGTCGCTGGAAAGTCACCCTGCCCAAAATGTCCTGGGGCCTTGTCTCCGCAGAGGCTGAGCTGTCCCGGGTAAGATAATCCATTCTGAATTCAGATGAAACGGGGAAATTTGCTCCTTCCTTCCTGAACTTCAGCCTGGACCCTTCGTTCCCCGCCTCCCACCGATGTCCCTTACTGCCACCTCCGCCCCTCCAGACCCCACACCCCTCACAGGTGCCCAGGCACACACCCCGCACCCGGCGGTGGCCG